GCCACGAATGGAGGCTGGGGCGGGGGGCTGGCGCGGGCTCCGGGGAAGTGCTCCACTCACCAGCCCTGATGCAGGAGAGCGGAGCACTTCCCCAGAGCCGGCGGAGCCCACGCCAGACTCCCACCCCAGCCTCTCCTGGTGCGTGACCTTGAAAAAGCTGTGCGCGGACATACTTTAAGTTGTGCGGGGCCGTGCACATGCGCACCTTAGAGGGAACCTTGCTTGCGCATGAAACTGGCAATGGTCTCAATCTGTTTCCACTGGGTTGGTAGCCAAAAAAGTATCAGTAAAATTGAAAATATTTGGTTCTTTTGTTGCAATCATAGCAGACACACTTGAGAAGAGACCTGAAGTTAACCCATAAACTTATGGATAGAAATTGTTCCTGAAGCACAGGGTTAGGCACCCAAAGGGACACTAAAGAGAATCTTGCATTACCACTATCCATGATATATCTGTTCAGGGAAGAGGTAGTTTCCTGGGTTGTTAGGGACAACTTCAGCCTTTGTGATACTGGAGACTAGTGCACTGCCTATTTACAAAATATAGAAGAACTTAACCTGATACAGAAGAATTTAACCTGCTATTTTCATCAACTTAGGACCTACCTCAGTGGTTTTACACTCAAATGAAAAATACTTTTCTTTGCCAAGATTCTGTCTATTCAAAATGTAAGAAGTCAAACAGTAAACCTGGCTTTATAATTTGCCTTTTAAAAAGTTGGCAAAACTAGATAAGGAGGATTCAAGATCCATCTTTGGAATGGAACACAGTACCCCAGAAAGCAAGTTACACCCACAACTTAAGTTACAAATATTTGAATTCTGTATGAGGGGGGAAAAAAACCCAAAACACTCAATATGGAATAATGCCATTCTCTTAACTTACCATTCGTTTGAGGAAGCTAAAGTGCTGAAATGTAATCCATCTTTTACTGGCTAGCCTGCAAATTTGTATAAGCTTGCACGGCATATGCTGCATCGCTCTTTTCTGAAGGTGCCAAACAAATAAGCCTACAGAGAAAAGAAACACTATTTGGACTCCAGTTGCTTTTTCACAGCATGGATGAGAAACAAACCCAATACAATGCTTGTTGTGCCCCATAACACACAACACTCTATAGGAGGGCTAAGCAAAACAGCTATTTAACTGAAAGAGATGCTGAGTGAGACTGCAGGACGCTTTCAAGTTCTGGAGGGAAGGGATGAGTGTTTTACTTCCCAGTGCTGCTTGGAATTAGTCTTATAACCTCTTCCTCTACCACAGCCTTAGTCTTATAGCCTCTTCCTCTACCACAGCCTCCAAATGCTGCTAATTTACTTACCTTACCAGGAAGCTGAAATATTTGTTTAAAGCAAGTACTTCACTTCACTTGTTTAAAGCATGTATAAAAATAGCACTCGAAATAAATTTTCATATCAACAGGACTTTTTGCCAACTATACTACAGATCTGCGTAACTGATATCCTAAAAACCTGATTGAATCACGCGTCTCATCGATGATATAAAACCATCATAAAATGGGAGAATTCAGTATTAAAAGTCATGCTATAAAAGGTCTCATAGGAATAAGGAAAGCAAAACTATGAAACAACATTTATGAGTCTGGTGTACGTGCTTCACATGCCGAAAACAGTCCTAATGCTTTGCTGACCAATGACTAGAAATGCAGGTCCAGGGGAATACATGACCTCATGATTCATTTAGCAGGAAATCATCACAAGTTACTAGGGGGAAAAATATTTATCATAAATTTATGACTTGCACATGTCTTTCTACAAATACTGAGGTTCCTTTCTTAACGAAACACTAAAGTAATCTGTTATAAATGCATGGTTTTCATGGGATATTTGTTACCATCAAAGAGAATCTGGGAAAGTGTGTATGTTTCTGCACAAGGGGAAAGGTGAAGAATTCAGGAACCTGAGCAAAGCTTTGCAATTTTTAAGCCAAACATTATTGTACCAGCTCACTGCAGATAAAAGGGGAAAGTGTATAGAAGAGAAGCGTACTGTATTTGAAATACTATTAAAATGAATGCTATCAGAGTGCATGGCAATTCAATTGACAGGCATGTTCCAGGCACATTTTTAATGGGTGTCTTTGCTGCAGTCAATAACTTATTACATGAATAAAACACCATTCCCATTTTGATCCTTTAAAACAGAGCTACTCGCTAAACAGAATTTCTATAGAGAATATTACTAAAACTCTTGCACGTGGCTCCTGTCAACGTGAACAGGAATCTTTTGTCTGAAAGTAAGTTTAGTAAAACTGCACTGCAGCAACAGAGGAGCGGAGGTTGTTTTAGAAAGCAGTGGTAAGAAAGGCACCTCCACAGCACCACACCGCTCTGCGAGCCAGTCTCTCAGAAAAAAAAAATCTCTCTCTTTGTATGGGCACATAAAATAACGTGTGCAGGGGGCAACCTCCAAAGGCCATAATCTAGATCAAGAGCCCCGTGTGCTATCCACCAAGCCAACAGGATCCCTACCCCAAAACACGGACACACTTCAAGCCCTGACCCCACGCTTTCCGCACCCGAGGAGCTCGGATACACTCCTGGACTGCCTCAATGAGACGCACGTACGTAAATCTGCCGCGTGTCATTGCAAGATCACGCATCAAAAAAGCAAAGCAAAGCAATGTACAGAAAAGGAAGTCAAGGAAGCGCAAAAGCAAAAGTAAACGAGGCGCGGACAGGCGGGTTCAAGGTTTTGCTCTGCGACTCCTTCGGTGCAAAGGAGCCGTGCCCATCCGGCCGCCTCCCGCAGCTGTCTCAAGCGGGTCTCAAAAGTCAGAAGGAGAGAGGAGCCTCCTCACCCCGACACGGGCTGGACCCACCCCGAGACCTCCCCAAGGACCAGACCA